CGCCGCGCACCTTCGTTTGAACCGATTGAGAGAATTTCACGGATTGGGAGCGGGTCGTTTTCGATATGTGGCTCTCGCCTCAGCGCCGCGCAGATTCGTTCAACAGAGGAAGAGTTTCAGTGATTCTGACGGCTAACGTACCAAAAACTGTGCTGTGGAAGGTTGCAGCACAAGGCCTAGCAGTTACGTGGATTCGCGGTGTTGAAATCCCGGAAACGGCGTTCTGGCACGACTCCGGACCGACAAGCCGCAACAGTCAGGTTCATTCGTGGTGTTGAAATCTCGAGAATGGTGTTTCACCATGCTATGCGTCAGGAATCTCGAACGGTTGTCTTCCAACGGGGCATTCCCCTTGGTGAGGATGAACCCTTGTAAACTTGGGTTTACACTGGTCATCCCCCCTCCTCCTCCTCCTCCTCCTCCTCCTCCTCCTCCTCCTCCTCCTCCTCCTCCACCTCCTCCTCCGCTTCCTCCTCCTCCTCCTCCTCCTCCTCCACTCTCCATCCTACCTCCTCCTCCTCCTCCCCTCCTCCTCCTCCTCCTCCCTCCTCCTCCTCCTCCTCCCCTCCTCCTCCTCACCCTCCCCCTCCCAATGCCCGCACGCCACCCACTCCTCTCGTCCTCGTCCCCTCCTCCTCCTCCTCCTCCTCCTCCTCCTCCTCCTCCTCCTCATCATCATCATCATCATCATCGTCACCATCATCAACATCATCATCTTCATCGGGACACCATCATCATCATCTCATCATCATCATCATCATCATCATCATCATCATCATCATCATCATCATCATCATCATCGTCATCATAATCATCATCCTCATCCTCATCCTCATCATCATCATCATCAGCATCATCATCATCATCAACATCAACATCAATATCAACTTCATCATATTCATCATCATATTGATCATCATCAGCAGCGGCAACATCAGCATCAGCAAGATCATCATCACCGTCATCACCATCATCATCAAGATCAGCATTATCACCACCACCACCGCCATCATCAGCATAGTTATCATCATCATCATCAGCATCATCATCATCACCATCATCATAATATCATCATCATCAGCATCATCAGCATCATCATCATCATCATCATCATCATCATCATCATCATCATCATCATCATATTGATCATCATCATCAGCAGCAGCAGTATCATCATCGTCATCGTCATCGTCCTCATCAGTATCATCATCACCACCATCATGATCAGCGTCATCATCATCAGCAGCACCACCATCATATTTACCATCAACATCAGCATCACCATCATCAGCATCATCATCAGCATCACCAGCATCGTCATCATCATCAACATCAGCGTCATGTATCATGTTTCCTTCGTCTTTTCCGCTTCTTTCTTGTTCCTTCCTCCTACCTCTTTCCTCCCCCTGCCACGGCCCCAGGGGCTCCCAGAATGGAAGGGCACCCGCGAAAGGGACCCCTGACCCGCGCGCCATTGATTCTTCCGCATTCGGCGAAGGTCCCCACCTGATGCGGGAGGAGCAGCCGGAAGGGGAGGAGGGCAGTGACAAAAAGCTAGCGCAGCGGCAGATGCGGCCCGGCTGAGGAAGAGGGGCGAGTGGGAAAACGGGCTGGGGGGCGGGGGTACTTGCGGTGGGCGCGCTGGCGGTCGTGCTGGTCGTCGTGGTTGTGATGGTCGAGCTGGCGGTCGCGCGTTGTGAAGTCGCGTTGGTCGTGGTACTGACTGGCGGTGGTCGTGGCGGTGGTCGCGGGAACCGTGGTTGTCGTGGTTGTCGATGTAGGGTCCGTGGCCGCTGATGGCGATGGTGGTCGACAGGGCGGTGGTGCGGCCGCTGGTGGTGGTCTCTGCGGTCCAGGCGATAGTGTTGGTCGTGGTGGCTGTGGTGGCGGCAGCGAGGGGCTGGCGGCCGTCGCCCGAGCGCGCTCAGCAGCATCTCAGCATTAGCCTTTGGAGGGTTCTGTCAATCTGCCGCCAGAGGCCGACCAGCAGCTCGGAGCGCTCGCCGCCGTCGAGGCCCAGTCCGTAGCTGCGCACGAAGCGGGCCGCCTCGTCGCTGGGTCGGCCCCGTCCAGCTCGCCCCCGTTCGGGGGGTACCGCTCACGCTTCTTGTACACCTCCCCTCCTCCTCCTCCTCCTCCTCCTCCTCCTCCTCCTCCTCCTCCTCCTCCTCCTCCTCCTCCTCCCTGTTACTCCTCCTCCTCCTCCTTCTCCTCGTCCTCCTAGTCCTCCTCCTCCTCCTCCTCCTCATCCTCCTCCTCTTCTTCTGACTGCCATATTCATCTTCATATTAAAACTAATATTGTAAGTAGTAGTAGCATGACCATTATTAGTATTAGTATTCCAATTAGTAATATTGTTATCAGTATTATCATTCGGGGTAGTACTCTTCGTGTTCGCATTATGTTTAAATTTCGCGTTCGTATGTTGTTTACTTATTTTCTGAATAGCATTATTGTAATTCGTCTTAGTGTCCATCTTCTCCGGAATCCTCTTGTTCGTATTACTCTTCTTAGTCTTAGTAGTGCGCTTAGAATTCGTAGTGTTCATCTTAGTGTTCGTATTAGTCTTAGTCGGCTTAGGCCCCTCACTATTACTATTGTCCTTATGTTCGTAGTAGTATCACTCAGATGTTCAGTAGTATTCGTGCTCGCCTTACTGTTCTTCTGAATATCATGAAGATTCGTAGTAGTGTGTGTGTGTGTGTGTCTTCGTCGTGCTAGTTGCATTTTTCGCATGGGTACAATTATTACCATCACGAATACAATCCGTAGTATTCGCAGTATTCTTAGTAAATGTAGAATTCTTAGTCGTATTAGCTAGTCATATGAAGATTAGTGTTAACCTGATTGTTCTCATGATCGTTCGACGTAGTATCAGCATTATCAGTCTCAGTATTATTAGTGTCCGTCTAACTGTGACTATTCGTACTGGTATTACTACTAGCTGTCTTCTTCTTCGTCGTACTGTTATTCATCCTCCTCGCTTCCTCCTCCTCCTCCTCCTCTTTCTCCTACTCACCTCCTCCTCATCATCATCATCCTGCGCCTCCGAGTCCTCCTCCTCCGCAACCTCCTCCTCCTGCTCCTCCCCCTCCTCCTTTTCCTCCTCCTCATCATCATCTTCATCATCCTCCCCTCCTCCTCCTCCTCCTCCTCCTCCTCCTCCTCCTCCTCCTCCTCGTCTTCGTCCTCCTCCTCCTCCCCCTCCTCCTCCTCTTCATCCTTCGCTTCTTCCTCCTCCTCCTCCTCTTCTTCTTCTTCTTATTATTATTGTTAGTATTATGTTTATTATTATTGGTAATATTCGTATTCTTCCTCTTATTAATATTCTTATGATTATTAGTATTATTCTTATTATGATTATTATTACGCTTAGTAGTATTATTATTGTTATTGTTCGTATTATTTGTCTCATTAATCGTCTGATTGGTACTATTCTTCTTTTTATTATTAGTATTCTTATTATTATGATTCTTATTCGTATTATTAGTATTAGTAGTATTACTATTAGTGTTATTATTATTAATATTATTATTAATATTATTAGTAGTATTATTATTAGTATTATTATTGTTTGTATTATTATTATTCCTCTTCCTCCTCCTCATCCTCCTCCTCCTCCTCCTCCTCCTCCTCTTCCTCCTCCTCCTCCTCCTCCTCTTCATCCTCATCCTCCGCTTCCTCCTCCTCCTCTTCCTCCTCCTATTCCTCCTCATCCTCCTCCTCCTCCTCATCCTCCGCTTCCTCTCCTCCTCCTCCTCCTCCTCCTCCTCCTTCCTCCTTATCCTCCTAATCCTCCTCCTCCTCATCATCCTCCTCCTGCCCCTCCTCCTCCTCCTACTCCTCCTCCTCCTTCGGCTTTCTGCCTCCTCCTCCTCCCTCCTCCTCCTCCTCCTCCCCTCCTCATACTCTCTTCATCCTCCTCCTCCTCCCCTCCTCCTCCTCTCCTCCTCCTCCTCCTCCTTCGCTTCCTCCTCCTTCGACTTCCTCCTCCCTCCAGCCTCCTCCTCCTCCTCCTCCTCCTCCTCCTCTTCGCTCCTCCTCCTCCTCCTCCTCCTCCTGCTCCTCTTCATCCTCCTCCTCCTCCTCCTCCTCCTCCTCCTCCTTCCTCCTCCTCCTACTCCTCTTCATCCTCCTCCTCCTTCTCATCCCCTCCTCATCCTCCTCCTCCTTCGCTTCCTCTCCTTCGCTTCCTCCTCCTCCTCCCTCCTCCTCCTCCTCCTCCTCCTCCTTCCTCTTCCTCCTCCTCCTCTACCCTCCTCCTGCTCCTCCCCCTCCTCCTCCTCCTCCCCCTCCTCCTCCTCCTCCTCCTCGACCCAAGAAATCTGCACGGACCTCCGACAGTGATGCTTACACCGTTCTTTATCCCCTGACCCCTGGCAACCGCCCGACGGATTCCCCGAGGCACGAATGACCCCTTCTGCGCGGGGGGGGAAGCCCAACCGCGCAGGCCAGTGCGGGCTCCTTTGGGCCACCATCAAAGGTCACTCCCGGGTGACTCGGCTCTCGGGCCATAACTCGAGCCTATGGCGGTCACTCGGGACTGGGACGATCCGGGCAACCCCCTGGAATGCCCTTGGCGAGGCGCAGCCGCTGAAACGAAGCCCGACGCGGGGAAACCACCAAGAACCAACGAAAACGACCCGCCAGGACTGACAACATCAGATCGTCGCAGATCTGGGAACGTGCACAATCGAAACGTGTATCAAAGACGAGTGGCAAGGACGCAGGGCCCACGGATGCGAAACTGGGATGTGTTGGGCGACGGGCGACCCGTGAAAACCGCAAAGGACGGCCCACAAAGGCAACGGATTCAAAGGTATCCTAGATGAAGACACGCGTCCTTACTAGGCGCGTTGACTGTAGTTGCCCGCCATCCCCCACCCCCCCCCAGCGCCGAGGGCCAGCCGCCAGGCGCCGCCGGCGCGCGGCCAGCCGACGCTGCGGCCCGCCGCGCGGCGAGCGCGAAGCACAGCGCGCAGCCGAAGGCCGACCCGCACCGCCGAAGCAAGCCCGCGGCCGCGGATGCAACGGCGTCCGCAGCGGCGCCCTCTGCCGGGTAGCACCGCAGCACCCAGCTGATGCCCACAAGGGCCGCGGCCTGCCCGACCCCCAGCGATTCCTCCTCCTCCTCCTCCTGCTCCTTCTCCTCCTCGTCTTCCTCCTCCTCCTCCTCCTCCTCCCCCTCCTCCTCTTCCTCCTCCTCCTAATCCTCCTCCTACTCCTCCTCTCCTCTTCCTCCTGTTTATTATTATTATTATTACTATTATTATTATGATTATTATTATTATTAGTAGTAGTAGTAGTAGTAGTGGCATTATCATTTTTATTATTATTTTATTAATAATATTATTATTAGTATTATTATTATTATTTTTATTATTACTATCATTTGTAGTATTGTTATAATTATTATTATTAATATTATTAATATTACTCGTATTATTATTACTATTATTCTTGTGATGATTACTATTATTATTAATAGTAGTATTATTATTATGTTTGCTAGTTTGGTTAATAATAGTAGTATCATTAGTTTTGTTATTAGTACTGTTGTTGCTATTCTTAGTATTCGTATTATCATTATTGTTAGTATTAGTATTAATATTAGTATTAGTATTAGTGGAAGTCGCAGTATTAGTCTTATTAGTATTAGTATTAGTATTAGTATTAGTATTAGTATTAGTATTAGTAATAGTATTAGTATTAGTATGAGTATGAGTATTAGTATTAGTATTAGTCTTAGTCTTAGTCTTAGTCTTAGTATTAGTATTAGTATTAGTATTAGTATTAGTATTAGTATTAGTATTAGTATTAGTGTTAGTATTAGTATTAGTATTAGTATTAGTATTAGTATTAGTATTAGTATTATTATTAGTACTAGCATTCGTATTAGTATTCGTATTAATATTAGTATTAATATTAGTATTAGTGTTAGTATTAGTGTTAGTAGTAATATTAGTATTAGATTAGTATTCGTATTAGTAGTTGTAGTAGTAGTAGTAATAGTAGTAGTACTAGTATCAGTATTAGTATTAGTATTAGTATTAGTATTAGTAATCGTATTCGCATTAGTATCGGTATTAGTACTAGTAGTAGTACTATTAGTATTACTTGTAGTATTAGTATTGTTAGTATTAGTATTATTACGAATATGTGTGTTATTAGTTTTTAGTATTCGTATTAGTATTATTATTAGTAGTAGTAGTAGCAGTAGTATTATTACTAGTATTATTATTATTAGTAGTAGTATTGGCATTGGTATCATCAGTACTATTAGTATTAATATGGGTGGTGTTAGTGTCGTTCGTGATATTCGTCAAATGATTAGTAAAATGATAATGAGTGAAATGGTAATGGTACTGTTAGTATCATGATTAGTAAAATGCTAATGAGTAGTATTAGTATTACTATGTGCATTGATATTATGGATATTAATAGCAGTATTAGTGTTAGTAGTACGAGTATGAATGCTATTATCACTACTAGTATTATTGCTAGTATCACTATTATATATGCTAGTACGAGTATTATTAGTGCTATTAGTATCACTAGTATTTGTGTTAGTAATACGAATATCATTATTACTAGTAGTAGTAGTATGAGTATTGTTGTTACTAGTAACATCGTTAGCCTTCTTATTGTGAGTAGCATCATCAGTATCATTAGTATTCGCATTATTAGCAGTATCATTCGTAGTCGTCTTACCATTCTATTCTTATGTTTAGTAGTAGTAGCATTGTCTCATTAGTAGTAGTAGTAGTAGTATTATGTTTCTTCTTCGTAGTCGTATGGGTAATATTAATATTTGGGTTATGGAATCTGAGGATTAATTATTCCTCCTCTCCACATCCTCCTCATCATCCTCATCCTGCTCCTCGCCTCCGCCTCCTCGCCCATACCTCCTCCTCCCTCATCCTCCTCCTCCTCCTCCTCCTCCCTCCTGCCTCAGTTCTCCTCCTCCGCCTCGTCCTCATCTACTCCTCCTCCCTGCTGCCCCGCCTCTCTCCCTCCTCCTCCTCCTCCCTCGTCGTCTCGACCTTCGCATCTCTCGTCGCCTTCCTCTCCTCCGCGTCCTCCTCCCTCCTCCTCCTACTCCTCCTCCTCCTCCTCCTCTTCCCCCTCCTCCTCCTCCTCCACCTCCTCCTCCCTCCTCCTCTTTTCCTCCTCTCCTCCTCCTCCGCCTCCACCTCCTCTCCTCCGCTCCGTCCGCCTCCAGCCTCCTCCTCCTCTTCCTCCTCCTCCTCCTCCTCATGTTCCTCATCTTCCTCATCCTCCGCCTCCTCCGCTTCCTTCCCTGCCTCCTCCTCCTCCTCCTCTCCTCCTCCCACCTCCACCCTCATCTCCTCCTCATCCTCCTCCTTCCTCATACCGCCTCCTCCTCCTTCCCCACCCCCTCCTCCTCCTCTCCTCCTCCTCCTCTCCTCCTCCTCCTCCCTCATCATCATCCTCATCCTCATCCTCATCCTCCTCCTCCGCTTCATTCTCCGCCTCCTCCTCCTCTTCCTCCTCCTCCTCCTCCTCCTCCTGTTTCTCATCCTCGCCCTCCTCGTCATCATCCCTCCTCGTGATCATCCCTCCTCTTCCTCCTTATCCTCCTCGTCGTCATCATCATCATCATCATCATCATCATCATCATCATCATCATCAGCATCATCATCATCATCATCATCAGCATCAGCATCATCAGCATCATCAGCATCATCATCAGCATCAGCAGCATCATCATCATCATCAGCATCATCAGCAGCAGCATCACCACCACCACCACCATCATCATCATCATCATCATCATCATCATCATCATCACCACCACCACCACTAGCACCATCACCAATATCATCAGCATCATCAGCATCAGCAGCATCATCATCATCAGCATCATCATCATCATCAGCATCATCATCATCATCAGCATCATCATCATCATCATCATCATCATCATAATCATCATCATCATCATCATCATCATCATCATCAGCATCATCATCATCGTCAGAATCATCAGCATCGGCATCAGCATCATCATCACCATCATCATCATCATCATCAGCATCATCAGCATCGTCATCATCATCATCATCATCATCATCAGCATCATCATCAACAGCAGCATCAGCATCGTCAGCATCCTCATCAGCATCATCAGCATCATCATCAGCAGCATCAACCTCATCATCAGCATGATCAGCATCAGCAGCAGCAGCATCATCATCATCATCAGCAGCAGCACCCTCATAATCATGAGCAACATCATCATCAGCAGCATCATCATCATCCTCATCATAAGCATCATCGGCATCATCATCATCATCATCAACATCGGCATCATCATCAGCATCAGCAGCATCATCATCATCAGCAGCATCAGCATCAGCATCATCATCCTCATCGTCAGCATCATCATCCTCATCGTCAGCATCATCATCAGCATCAGCATCATCATCATCAGCAGCAGCATCATCAGCAGCAACATCATCATCAGCAGCATCATATTCAGCATCAGCAACATCATCATCATCAACATCATCAGCATCATCAGCGTCATCATCAGCATCATCAGCATCAACATCATCAACAGCATCAGCATCAGCACAATCATCATCATCATCATCAGCAGCATCACCATCATCATCGTCATCATCAGCATCATCAGCATCAGCATCATCATAATCTTCATCAGCATGATCATCATCATCATCATCATCATCAGCATCATCATCATCAGCATAATCAGCATCATCAGCATCACCATCGCCATCAGCATCATCAGCATCATCATCATCCTCATCATCATCATCAGTAGAAGCATCATCATCAACATCATCATCAGCAGCATCATCATCCGCATCGTCATCATAAGCAGCATAATCGTCATCATCATCAACAACCTCATAATCATCATCATCATCAGCAACATCAGCATCAGCATCATCGTCATCATCAGCAGCACCATCAGCAGCATCGTCATCAGCATCATCATCATCAGCATCAACATCATCATCATCAGCATCGTCGTCCTCATCATCGTCATCATCACCACCACCGCCATCATCAACAGCATCGTCATCATCAATAACATCATCATCAGCAACATCGTCATCAGCATCGTCATCAGCATCGTCATCATCATCAGCAGCATCATCATCAACAGCAGCATCATCATCATCATCCTGCTCCTCATCATCTTCTTCCTATTCCTCCTCCTCCTCCATCCCCCCCTCCTCCTCCTCGTCCTCCACCTCCTCCTCCTCCTCCTCATCCTCCTCCTCCTCGTCCCATCTTCCTCCTCCTCCTCCTCCTCTTACTCCTACTCCTCCTCATCTCCTCCTCCTCTCCTCCTCCTCCCCTCCTCATCCTCCTCCTCCCTCCTCCTCCTCCTCCTCCTCCTCCTCCTCCTCCCTCCTCCTCCTCCTCCTCCTCCTCCTCCTCCTCCTCTCCCTCCGTCCCTCACTCCTGCTGCCTCTCATAATCCGCCTCGTCCTCCTCCGTGTCGTCCTCCCTCCTCCGCCTCCTCCTCCTTCCTCCTCCTCCTCCTCCTCATCCCCTCCTCGTCTCTCATCCTCTTCCCCTCGCATCAAACCCTCCTTCTCCTCCACCGTTTATCCTCATCCTCCCTCATCCTCCTCTCCTCTTCCACATTCCTCCTCTCCCCTCTCCTCCGCCTCCTCCTCCTCATCCTCCTCCTCCTGCTCCTCTTCCTCCATCTCCCATCCCCTCATCCTCCTCCTCCTCCTCTCCTCCTCCTCCTCTCTCCGTTTCCTCCTCTGCCTAATCCTCCTCCTCGTCCTTCTCCCTCTCCTCCTCCCTTCCCTCCTCCGCTTCTCCTCCTCCTCCTCCTCCTCCTAATCATCATCATCATCATCATCTCATCATCATCAACTCATCATAATCATCATCACATCATCATCATCATCATCATCATCATCATCATCAGCTCATCATCATCATCAGCATCGAGCATCAGCATCATCATCATCATCATCATCAGCATCAGCATCCTCACAACATAATCATCATCATCAGCATCATCATCATCATCATCATCATCATCATCATCATCATCATCATCCATCATCACATCATCATCATCATCAT